TATGCACCACTTCACAAGCACTTCAGACCACTCACCTGCGTATCCAATCTTTTCGAGTATCGGTGGTCTCCACCTGTCACTGAATTTAATGTCGTTTTCTGAACCAGGTCCATATGCAGCTGCAATCTCGTCAGCTCCGCTAAGTACGATAGCTTTCCCCATCGGTCCCAAACTGATTTCATAAACAGCTCCAAGTTCCTCGCTCCATTTAGTCCAAGACAAATGGGATTTATCATCGATTTGTAACAGATTTCCAAACAAATAACTTTGTTCTGGACCTAGTAGCTTTTTGTTTTCCGTTGGATCTTCTATTTTCGTATATGTATCTCTATCTCCACTGCCACCTTTTCTACGAGTAGCCATACTAAATAGGCCAATATTAACAATAACCAAGTGGATATAGCAGTACTCTGAATGCTGGCCGATTTCACAATTGTCTGTATTTAGATTTTCAGTCACGCTTCCGTCAACAGCTGGAATTTGCAGAAGTAATATGTCATCAATGTCATACGTCAGGCTGTCAACTTTCAGTCTGTTCAGATTTGTTCTTCATGGTATATATGGGCGGCCATTAGGGCCAAAATAGACAAACATTGGCGTACGAACAATCCCACCCTCACTCAGTAAGGACAATAAAAATTGCCGTAAGGACAATACAAACTGCTTAATTTAAAACTGAAAAAATGGTTTCAAACTGTGTTGTCTGATCTTATACAATCATCACCTTGAAACAGATTTACTTTTGCATTGTTTGACCTTCAATCAATCAAATGAACTTTCAATCAAATACTCACTATATTGTAATCCGACAAGATAAAATCTACACCAAATTGAAGTTTAACAATAATTGCAGAAAAAATCGATTGTAACTTTAACTAATGATTTGTACCTATCATTAATTCGGCGGTGAGAGTTCACACACTTTTCAATATTCGAGTGCAATTCATATTTTTCGTGTCGTATTATCTAATAAACAAATACACAATTGGGAATTAAGGAAAGTTTTGCATGTAACTTGGTTATAACATGGAGCTTGTAGGTCTATATGCTTATATCATGGACCTATTAATAAGAGTATTAATAGGTCCATGCTTATATGTCGCATTTGTTTGTTATTTGTTACCGAGTACAGTATTTATAATTAAAGCGCACATTCCTTTACCACGGGTTTTTCCAGGTTACTAATATTAATATTATTAATATTGAGTCAGTCAACATCATTTAGATACACAATTTAAAATAACGATTTCCAAACCACAAAAAAAGCTGAAGCTGTTACTACGTTTGGTAGTCATTGCACACTCTAGATCATCAGCACAAACGGTAATTTGACTTTTCGTAAGTCGCCAATTCGAGAATGGGACGGAGTGATATATAACTCCGGGACTGAATGTAACATAAAAAAAATAGGCGACTGGTTGTTCGGTACGTAGCGTTTGGCAGGAAGAAATATTGACTTATTAACAACATGTTAAATGTTTTATTTGTGAATTTGTCTCCTCCAAATTGAGATTTTTTTTTTTTTTTTTTTTTTTTTTTTGCACGGACACATTTTCCTAATTGAGCAAATGGCTCAAATGGTGCATGATCTTTCAAGAGAAATGTTATTGTTAATATAATAACTTAAGAGTACATTAATCGTGTTCAATACATACATTTACAATACACGCAACCTAAATTGCATACAATTCTACTATCTATTTATCGGCTAATGATAGGTCATGGTTGTTTTTAATGACCTGGAAAAGCGGGTGGCATAAGGTCATAAAATGTTTACTAACCTTGGTCTAAGATAATGAAAATAGCCTCCAATGAAGAATTACACGTAAAAATAGGGTATACAGTGTGGAGCCGAAAGTAATACAAAGTTAAAGATTAAAATCATATTCGACGACCGTCTGAAGGCGTGAGTTCGGCTTTAGTACGAACGCAATTTTGAATGGGAAAAATAAGATTTTGATGAAATGAAAATGTCCATAAAATGGTATTATTTGAAAGATTAGCCCGACATTTGGCTTAATTTTAGCCAACTAGATGCAGTATCAAGACCAAAAAGAACAGCAAAAAGTAAGAACTTTCGACGGTGAAACGGGAGTAAGGGGGGGGGGGGGGATTCGTCCAAAAATATTCTCAAACTCAGGGTCGCCTTATTACACGACAATAATACGGTATAGTAACCACGTACATATAAAGGCTAAATGTGGCGGCTTGATGATCACTAAAACTGCAGATCAAATTTTATAATAGGCCTATGCATTCAGTCAAATAGCAGATTATTTTAATAATTACGTTTCGAATTTCTGTCAAAATCCTACCATTTAATCCACCACGGACACTGATAGTTAAACAATTTCCACCCAATCTGTTCGAATGCATGCCTTGCGATAAAACAAAAGCGAAAGAAAGCTTCCATCTTGTCCAATCCCTATATTCTCATTTGTGGACTTTATTCTTAATCCGCTTAGGGTTAGTTTTACGTATAATTCAATGGTTCAGTAGGCCTAGGCCTATATAATAATACAATATCTTCCTATAAACCAATTAATCTTATGAATAAAATGAAAAACATTAGTTAACATTGACAATTTCCTACTAAGTCACAAACCAGGTCCGTGGATCCAACTCCAGGTTCATCGACGGACCGGGGGTGTAAGTTTTTCTTTCTAAAGATGTTCAGTTCCGTATTTGCATCGTTAAAAGGCATAATATGCCGGATGTTACTTCCACAATAATGTGCCCCATTGCTTCCGTTTACCAGAAAGTTAAAGGTGATGTTATAACTCTTAGAAATATACGTGAATACAATAATACGATCTTACACCGTTATAAAGTGTACGCTCTATCCGCGTAAAGTATATTTAAAAATTACAAAAATTAAACTAAGCAAGTGAGAACATGAAATGTTTAATGTCTATTTGTGGCAATGACGTTGAAGTGGTTCGGATGATTACAACCAACAAGCATGAAGCTATCTTCCAGTGACGGCAGTTTCTCCCCCTCGACACCCTTAAGATGAAACCTCTTGAAAACGGTGGCAGTGAGTATGCGCAGAGCTGTCATAGACATCAAGTATCCGTCACACTTCCTCAATCCTAGAGAATATAAGCACCATTAAGCATGACTCTCGTAATTTTCAGTAACACAATATACTATTATGTGCCAGGAACATATCTTTGACCTAACAAACACAGGGCATGTGAACCCTTGCTTTTTATTGATCAAAATTTTAGGCCGTTGTGATACGTAAAGCCTGGTTTATCTTCAAAGCGCTCTTTTTATGACCGATAAATGAATG